TTGGAAAAAGTTTCCTAAATTTTTAAGAATTCTAAAGATTTACATATAATTTTTTAGAGCTTATTTAATCTAGCTTAAAATAATACTATGAGAAAGCTTTTTTTTGAAAGTTGTAAAGTACTAATATGATGGTAATTATTGCCATCATATTACAGAGCAAAACATTTGGCTTTCTCTGAACTGCCACTTTAGTACACACATATTAAAAGGAAGTGGCCTCCCTCCTTTTCAGATCTGAAGCCCACCTTCTCTAATGAAAATTGTCCCATTCTACTCTTAACACATGAACTTTTAAATGCGATGTTTACGGAAACTTTTGGGAAATGTTTCCCATGAATGTTTCATGTTTTCCCTTTTTATAGCTTATGAACATTTTATTTAGAGATGACTGTTTTAATCTCAGATATTAGGAGGTACACTAGAAAAGTATTTTTTTCTACTGTCTTTGAAAAGTACAACTGCTCTCAGTGATACTGGTGGCATAAATATGAATCCATAGAGAGAAAACCTGTGCAAAGGTTTTTAAATGTATTGTCTAAAAGGAAGTATAGAATGATTCTTAATTTGGAAAAAATATGAATTTAAAACACTGTTATGTTAACATGGCATGGTTTTAAATTTAACTCCAGTAATCTTCTTAAGGATTGATAGTAGCCATCATTATTGGCTTAAAAATTATACAGTGTTAAATCCATGTTTTTTGGAGCTTTCATTGATAGAGGTGAAAAAGTTCGTGCTTGTGAGGGTGGTGGAGCTGGTGGTGAAGTAAATATCAACCTACTTTAGAAAGAAGGAACTTTTCAGTCGTGCCTCAAGCAAACCAGAAGTATCCATTGCTTACAGTCTTTGTTTAGAATGGTTGAAAAGTCATAATTCTTTTTGTTTTAGGTAGTACTAAGTACTCTTAATAGTTAATAGATCTACATAATCATTAAATTACTATGATGAATGACTGGGGTTTCACATCCAGTTGAAACAGCTGTGTGCAGTGACCCCCTTGGCAGTTACTTACCTTTAAACCTGTTTCCTCTTCTATGTATACCATGTGGAGCCTATACTAAACATGTTGATTTTGATTTAAATCATCTCTTAGGTTCCTCCCAGCTCTAAAACTATGATTCTGGGCCACATAATGGGGTGTTTTTAAGTTGCTTCTACTTAATTCTCTTTCCCTTTTCAGCAGTTCCTTTCATACTTCAGAGCAGTTGCTAAAAGATAATTATTTATTAAGCATTATTCCCTGGGTTACCTAGTCTTGTTTGTCCTAAGGAACAAGGCAGAAAATTTAAACAGACAAGCAAATGAGGACTTTTTTCTAAATGCTTCTTGCTAGCTAACCATGGAATATATGAACACACTAGAGGCCCAGTGCATGACATTCATGCACTCTGGGGGGTCCCTCAGCCTGGCCTGTGCCCTCTCACAGTCTAGGAGCCCTCGGGGGATGTCCGACTGCCACGGAAGCAAGAGAGGCTCCCCCTGTGGGAGCGCACTGACCATCAGGGGGCAGCTCCTGTGTTGAGCATCTGCCTTCTGGTGGTCAGTGTGCATCATAGCAACCAGTTGTTCTGCCGTTTGGTCAATTTGCATAATAGCCTTTTATTATATATGATGATGGAAAATGATAATGGACATTATCATTCAGGCATTTATCCATTCACTTAGCAAACTTTTTGAATACTTACTTTGTGCAGCAGGTGGTATACATGATGTAAGGAACTAGTCATAAGTAAACAATATCTTCCCAAACAAACTTTTGATTGCAGTTTAAACATGGACATAATTGTTATTACTTTAATGTACTGAATATAAAGTTGGGACTGAGGGAATTTTTTTATGCATTGGGGTAAGGATTAGGCTAGATGACAGATAAGGGGTCTGAGTAAATCACATCAAATCCTGTAACATTTTACCTACTAAACATCAATCAGTCATAAACCTGATTAGGTTATGAAATTAAGTGTCCTAACAGTAAGGATTTATATTTTGTGACAGCCCATATTTCTAAGAATTGTTTTGACACTTGAATCTATTCCAGAGGTGTTGCTTTGCAGGGAGTGTGACAGAACAATACAAAGAAGCTGGTGCTGACTTACTATACATTTTTAACCACAAAAGCTTTACACCCAGTATTGACAGTGAAGCATATCTAAAACTGGGAAATCTCAAAGGAATTCGCTGAACAGGTTTGTTTTGTACTTTTGTTTTGTTTTTAAAGCAAGGAAGACTACATAAAATAAATTTTATTACAAATATCTACTTTTTAGAAAGAACACATTACAAAGTAAAAGGGTTTTACTTTAAAATACTGAACTAATAAACATAAAAGAGTTCTATGTTTAAATTAACAAGTATATGGGGAGTAAGTATTGAATGGGATCGTTATTAACTAGGTAGAGATTCCTTACCACTTGAGGATTCTGTGACTTACACTGTAATTCCTATTGACAGAGCTTTACATATTAACATTGCTTGATACTAACATTCTCTATAAAGATAAAAAAATGAAAGTATCTCATTTTTATTGATTTCAGAGAGGAAGGGAGAGGGAGAGGTAGAAATATCAATGATGAGAGAGAATCATTGATCGCCTGCCTCCTTCATGCCCCACACTGGGGATTGAGCCCCAACCCGGACATGTGCCCTGACTGGGAATGGAACTGTGACCTCCTGGTTATATTACAGGTTGATGCTCAACCACTTAGCCACACCAGCTGGGTAGTCACAACTTCTTAAAGCAGGAAAATGTCCTAATACATGTTGGATTGGAATCTTTAACAAACTGATTTAAAAAGGAACACTGACATTCCATGTAAAACAAATTTTTCCCCCAAGGCATTGTTTAAAATTTAACATGTTTTGATATACCGAATTTTAAAAATATTTACCCATATTTTATGATGTTAGTATATATATTGCATAAGTACCTTTTAAATATGTATTCTTAAAACTTAAAAAGTCAGTGGAGCCCTGACTGGTGTTGCTAAGTGGTTAAAGCATCAGCTCCTGAACCGAAGGGTTGCACGTGCAGTTCCCAGTCAAGGGCATTCACCTGGGTTGTGGGTTCCCTTTCTGCCTCAGTCGGGTGCATACAGTAGGCAACCAGTCAGTGTTTCTCTCTTGCATTGATATTTCTCTCTCTCTCCCTTCCTCCCTTCCATGCTCTCTGAAAAGCAATGGGAAAAACGTCCCCAGGTGAGGATTTAAAAAAATAAAGTCAACGAAGTGTACAAGGATGTTTAACTTCAGAGACATTTACCCAAGATTCCCAAGTCACCTTATTCAAAAACTTTGTTTTTTTCTGTAGGAAAAAAAAAAGTCAAAGTAGGTTCTAGAAACTATGCTTAGAGTCAGGAGTAAGCTTGTGCTGAGTTGTAGGCAGCAGTGTGCAGGGTGGATGCCGACACAGATGGCAGGCATTTCAGGCCTCTACTGAATTAATGCTTTTGTCTTGTTGGTTAAGCTTTTTTTGGTTTAAACAAAGGCAAATTTTTGTGATATATTAGTTTTTAAAAAAATACTAATTTTTGATTCTTCAAGTACATGTTGACTTTTTCTATTTCTACGTTTGATTCCTCACAATGTTCTAAATGGGACTTTCAAATGATTAAAACCTCAAAAGCTGATCCATCCAGGATGAACAAAGCATCACCAAGGGGAAAAAGCATTTTTTATCTTTATAGAAAACAAATGTTAAGATTATATATAGATGTATTCTTTACATTGGATATTGTATTAGAGTCCTCTTTACAGGAAATTAGTTTTAGCACTCTTAGCATTGGTGTTCCTAGATTGGTGTCAGTAGCTAGTTTTCAAATGTATAACCTGAAAATGAAGTTAATTTTGCATTGTAAGAGCACACCACGATCTATGTAAAAAGTCTGTCCATTTGGTATATTTTTTTTAAAAAGAGAAGGCACTTTCATATTAACAAGTAGCATGTGTATTAATTTTAGATTTTCATATCTGTTGTGTCTGTATTCAGTGAAGTGAAATTAAGCATTCAGATGCTTGTTGATGGCAACATTAACTGTTAAATTAAAGCACCTTATATTCTGCTGCTTAACCTGACTTGTAATTGCACCTTTGTTACCTGCACATTTCACGTAGAACATTGTTGTAACATTGCTTCATGTGGGTCTGGATGAAGGTTAAGTGGGCCTACAGAATCATTTATTTATATTGTTTATAATTCAATAATATATTGTAGACCAGCTGTTAAGTTCATTTCTTTACTAATAAAAGCCTCTTCCATTTGGCTGGTCTATTGCATAATTTCTTTTTTTCTTTAAGCTTATGAGGCATGGGGGCTTTCTAAGTGAACAACAACAAAAAGCTTACGAAGGGACTTGAAATAGTTAGAAACTTTCCTGATTTAAAATCTGCAGGGTTTTATTAAGTACAATTTATTTTAAATATCTTAGTGCCATGTTATGGCCAATTAGAAAGCAATACATTCAGAGGAAACGTAACAGAGAAGTGAGAGGGCCAGGTTTAGACATGGGCAGGTTGGACACTTCTATGTAGTTCAACTGAATTCACAAAGTGACTTCAGATTGTCATTCAGATTCCTTTATTCCTGTAGTTCTCAGCTGGGGCGATTTTGCCCCCCATGGGAGGCTTGGCAATGTCTGGAGACATTTTGATTGTCAAGACTGGGGAAGAGGGTGCTATTGTTATCTAGTGGGTAGTGGGTAGGGATGCTACTAAATATTTCAATGCACAGGCATTCTCCCCAAACAATTACCTAACCCAAAATATCAATAGTGCCGAGGATAGGAAACCCTGCTTTACTTTTACAACGTAGTTATGATTTGATATTGCAAGTGACATTTAAGTTATAACTGAAAAGGAATCTGGCATGGAGAGAGCCTAGTCACTACCAGTTCTATAAGGTAAGCAACCGAAACTTAGTTTGCAGAAATATTTACATTAAGAACAAATATATATTTAAAATTAGCTACTCTTCCCCTATGTTAAAGAATATTTATACCGAATCATTTCAAGAAAACCATCTTGATTTTATTGCTGTGAATTAAATAAAAATGTTTATTTAAGTTTATATAAAAGTTGGCAGCGCATCTCAGATTTACATAACAGTTTGCATCCAGTAGTTTTTTTGGATAACAGAAACATCAGTATGGCCAAGTGTTAACTCATTTCACTTCTATGTTAATATTTGTAACATGCAATTTTCCTGAACAGGTATAAAATTTTTTCTTGGAATTATTTTGTTTAAAAATGAACAAAAAGACAAATAATATCATAGCCCCAAAATACATATTGAGGCGGTTGAGGGAGGCTTCAGTTCAGTTCAGTCTTTGTATGCCCTGAGTTATTTTTCCTTTGAAAATACCACAGTTGTAAGTTTTAACATGGCAACATGTTAACAAATTATAATTGATGTAGGCTTTTCAATTTGCTCAGGATCATGAATTGCAAGTGCAATGAAGCAGCTTTTCCAGTTGACAAATGGATCCACAGGTAATGCAATGTCTCTTAAATTAAACTTGTGACATTTACACCAGTAAACCGTAGCAATGAGAAAACTATTGACAAAGTACAACCATGGAATGTTCATCTCAATATATGCTGGAATCTGTACTTTAAATAAAAGGGTAATTATTTGAAGTAGTACAAATGGTAACCAGGTACCGAGAAAACAGACAATGAACTTGGGCAAGAGTGTTTTTTTAGAGTTCACAGTACAACTAGAATGGGATGAAAAGGGGAAATATAGGACAGTCTCATTCATGTAGGAAGTTATCCTAATAGCCTGTACCAAGGTAATAACTTCTGACCAAGAAGTGATGAAAGCCATAAATAAAATCATCACCATGAAAAATGAGAGCCAGTAACTTTGAATGCTGACGTAGAAAGGACATTGATAAGGATAAACATTCTGTGCCTTCAGGTTTTGGTAGATATCTGGATCTCCCAAAACATAAGCAAATACTGAAATCCAAATCAAAATTACTGTAAAGAAATAAAATAATTTCTGACACGTAAATGGAAGGGTGGTTTTAGAAAAATTCAGATAATAATCTATCCATGCTATCAGGAAAACTGGATAATGCAAAAAGCCATAAGTAAAAGATATAATTTGAGTAAACAAGCAGATGTGGTATTTAGTAAACCTAATGTCTAAAAGTACAAAATCCCTGAAATAGGATATAATGGAAATGTTTACCAAAAGTAAAAGGTCCATGAGTGCTAGTGAAATGCAAAAATATTCCATAAAATTTTGACAGGTGTTTTTCCTTCTCATTCCCAGTGTGAGGATATTTAATAATATTTTCCCAAGTATAATCAAGATTAACAGACAGTTACCATCCAGGAGCTGACTTGTTTGATGTAACTGGTACTGAGAAGAGCAGTTCTCTGAAGCAAGCACAATCATATTTTTAGTTAAACTTCAGAAGACCTGCTGAAAGATAGACGATAAGATACTGCTTTGCTTTATTTTCCATCCCTGCAAAGAAAGGTGAAAAAGTCTTGATGTTATCTTGATTCTATCTCTATTTTAAGACTTTACAAAACAAGCACTAGGATTCCCCAAATATAATTTAATCCAGTCATTTCCACAAATAATTATATGTATAAATAGGAATTTATGTTTCTCATAAAACTTATAGATGAAGGATTAATATGCATACTTTGGTCATTTTTTGAGACCCAGGTCGTTCAGAACTCTCAGATCTATAACCAAAATGTTACATATAAATTACTAAAACTTTCATGTAAGTACAAGTTTTAATAATGTGTAAAAAGATAAAATACTTTGTCCTACTGGAGTGAAAACACAGGCTTAAAATAGCAGCCTGCAGGTAGCATTCAGACAATCACTGATAGTTGTTACCCGAGTCTCACTCTGACTCAGGATGTTACCTCCCCTGTCCCCCCTTTTGTCTCTTCGTCAGTGAAGTAGAGGTAATGTTTAAGGGGCCCTCTAGTCCAGCAGTTTTCAAACTTTTAACTGCAGGATCAACATTCACATTAAGTATCTGAAGTTCAAAGATATGGAACAGACTATTCAGCTGAAAATATTAGGAACATTGGCAACAGAAAGAAAGATTTATCTTCTGGGCATGATCTTTCAGGTGTGGCACCTGGAGAGATGAGAGAATACAGGGAAGGAATAGGGGCCGAGTATGATACCTGAGGACATTAGGAAGTGCTAGGTAAAGGCAAAGGAACAGGAGTTGAAGCTTGAGTGATAAATGCACTTGGAGGAACCAAAAAAGATAACATGGTGAAAGAGAAAGGTCAGAAAGGAAGAAATCAGGAAAGGATGGAAGAGAAGGAAGGAAATTAGAGAAATTTATCCTGAAAATATGACCCAAAGATGTTTCTGCAAGACTGTTCAACCAGGTATTTCTGAGTAGCAAAATAAAACCAAACCCAAATAGTAACAGGTCCATCACAAATGTCAACAACTGGAGAGGGTTAAAATGATACAGTCCTTCCCTACAATGTACTATCCTGCAGCCATTAACAATGTCAGCAGGAAGACTGTTTTCACTCCACCTTTCTATACTTGTTCAATGTTTAGCCTTATGAATATGTTACATGTTTTAAAATAATATAAATTTCCATAATATGTTTAAATGAATTGCAGGTTACAAAAGTATGCAATTACTTGTTAAGACATTATACATGCATAGAAAAACTTAGAAGGTACACATTGACTTAATCCTATGTAGTATTATAGGTCTTTCTGAATTTCTCAAACTTTAAGGAAAAAATAAGTTAGGGAGTGTCAAGACTAAAAAGTGAAAAACTGAATTTGCTGAAAAGCAGATATCTGATTAAATAATTTCAAAGGAGTAATGAGGATATTGTCTGAGGAGAAAAAATTCAGTGGGAGAAAGCTATTAGTTCTATTAACTTGACAAAGTCCTAATTGAGAAGAGAGGCCCTGACATTTCTGTGTTCATCTTATCACAGTCCAATTTTAGCAAGAATCCTGCTAAGTCAGGTTAGTCAGCATGTCTCATCCTCAATATCTGATCTCCCTCGCTATCTGATCAGGTTCCTCATCTCTCACCATGCCGCAGCTTTACTACCTTCAGCAAGAATCCTGTTAGGGTTTAGCCAGAATCCCCTGGCCCAGCCGAGGGCAAACTACGGCCCGCGGGCCGGATCCGGCCCGTTCGGCTGTTCTATCCGGCCCGCGGAACCAAAAGAGCGGAGGGTTCTCTTGCTCTCCCCTCCGCTCCTTCACCAGCAGCAGTGTTAACATGGCAACGTCGGGAAACACGGCCACAGCTCCTTCTGAGTCCAGTTTAAGAACCCATTGTGGCCCTCGAGTCAAAAAGTTTGCCCACCCCTGCCCTGGCCCCTGATGTTTCCTTAGTAATATTTCATCTACTGACCCCACACCTTGCTTCTTGGCTATGAATTCCCACTAGTATTGGAGTGAAGCCCGGTCTCTTCCTGTCATTGCAGAACCTCATCATAGTGGCCCCTATACCTATTGCAGTAGTTCTGAATAAGGTCTGCCTTACCATTCTTCAACAAAGGTCATGAACAATTTTTTCTTTAACATACTCATGGCCATAAATACACCAGTGTCGTAAACTCACATATCTATCTATACACACACATGTATATATAAAAACAGTTTAAAAAATCATTCAATACCCATATTAATAACTATAGGTTTAAAAGAATCAATGAAACAAGTTCTCTTGTACATTGAATTTTTTTTCTATACTCAAATATATCGTGTAATTTAACTTGACCCTCTCCAGGAAAAGCTCCATTCCAGATTTGATATATGGTAAATAATGGCACGGAATCATGGTTAACCACCTTGACAAATGACACTGGCTTTGTAAGTGGTGGTGCTTGGATAAGGAAGCATAGTTGGAATGATAAGACCACTTGAAGCCCTCCAGTGTCAAGAAGAAAAACAAGCTGTTTTAAATAGCAAATGTTGGTTTAGAATGGAGGTGAGGAAGGAAAACAGTGTGGGTTCATATTTATGAAGACCCCCCCCCCTTTTAAAGGTATCTTTACTATAAAATTTAAAAAGAATTATCTGTATAAAATTATTTTATCCTTAATAACTGCAATGCAAATTAAATAAGCAAAGCTAAGGAATCCATGTTTTTCTCTCTTGACATCTGGCTCCATTGCATTACTGACTCTCACCTTGGGGCCCAGGGGAAGGCAGAAAAGCAGGCTACTCCCTGGAGGAGCATCTGGGGGGCTGTGGAAGGTCAGCAAAGGGCAGGAAGTGGAGGAGGATCAGTTCCAGTCACCAAGGCAGTTCCCAGAAGCTCCTTAGAAAAGGACTGGAAGAAAGAAGACAAAACAAATCTGAGATGGAATATATAAGAGAACCGTAAAGCTGGAAGGAACTTTAGAGATGAGGGAAGATATGCAACTTGAGGCAATATAAAGCAATCGAGAAGTTTGAGCTGTTTTATAATGGTTCCCAAATATCATAATTATGGGAACTAAAACTTTTTGAGGTGATACCAACTTATACTCCATGTCCTCAATAAACCACTAAAATTATTCAGTATTCCAACATTTTGTTCTTTAAACAACCACCCTCCAGGACAAGACAAAAATCCTTTGTTAGGCTACCTGTCCCGAATTTTCCCTTGAAAAATGTTCACATTAACTCCACAGATTCAGTGATTTATAAGATATGGTTTTCTTGGGGGAAAAAAAATGTTTTAACTACTTATGAATCAACTCAAATTACTTCATATACAACTTAAAAAGTTAACGTGGAAGTCCTTTTCAAGACATCTTTGGGTTTGCATTGTGATCTGACCGATTCAGAAGTATTAGGCCTGAAGGAAACAAACCATGATTTCTTTTCTGCTTTTCTAGTTATTACCAACCCAAATCTTTTTTTTTTTAAATATATTTTATTGATTTTTTTACAGAGAGGAAGGGAGAGAGATAGAGTCAGAAACATCGATCAGCTGCCTCCTGCACATCTCCTATTGGGGATGTGCCCACAACCCAGGTACATGCCCTTGACCGGAATCGAACCTGGGACCTTTCAGTCCGCAGGCCAACGCTCTATCCACTGAGCCAAACCGGTTTCGGCCCAACCCAAATCTTAACAACACACCAGACTTACTCTGCTTTCTCCAGCAGGTCGTTCTCAGCTGATGATCTTCCTATTTTATTTCAGTTTAGTGCCTTCAATTAACTCACTTTTGGTTTCTGGCACACCAAAATGCCACATGAATAAGCTCTGTGTGGAAGACCAAAAAAAACCAAACACATCATTAATAGCTACCTTAGTAACTGGAGTTCAATATAACTGGCTCCAGATCTCTGCTTAGAAAAACTATAACTTGCACCCTAGCCGGTCTGGTTCAGTGAATAGTGTCCGCCTGGGTTTGATTCTGGTCAAGGGCACATGCCCAGGTTGTGGGCCTCAATCCCCAGCAGGGGGCGTGCAGGCAGCTGGTCAATGATTCTCATCATTGATGTTTCTATCTCTCCCCCTTCCTTCCTCTCTGACATCAATAAAAATATATTTAAAAAAAAGAAAAGAAAATGATAACTTTCTGTGGGATTAGAACCAGTAACTAATTGCTTATCTTTTTTCCAGCAAAAGGAAGAAAGGGAATACTTAGGTTGGAAGTCCACCAAAGACCGGAGATGTGGGTGCATATAACATGGCATCTATTTACAGAAATCTTGCTTACATTGTGGTTTTCACCTACAGGCTTCGAGTCTGACCTAACAGTTCTCATAGTGTGATTACAGGACCTTTTGACACTTGTTGCATGGTAACATAACATTTCTTGAAATGAAAATTTGCTGTTTTCCCAAACCAAAAAACTGAGTAAAGTGGCATTGTTTCACATCTCACAAATTGCTTGTGTCTGGCTCAATAGCAGACAGCTGAATCCTCACCTATATTAAATCAGGTGCAGTATCACATTTCCTGTAGCTTTTGGAAAGTCCTCTGTACATTTGAGCTTGAGAGAAAAAAAACTTTTTAAAAATAGGTAACAAATTAAACTTAATACAGTAATTTCATAGTATTATAATCAGATAGTTGTGCTGTGCAACCTCCGAAAAGTTTAACAAAAAAACCATGTGCATGAAATAGTAGGATGGGCAGATGAACAGTTAACATTCTGGTCAATGACTGTACAGAAAATAAAACTAGAACAGTAGCTGGATTTGCTGATCCTGAGTGGAGAAAGCCTGTGGGAGAAATAATGTATTAAGTTTTGTCCAGGGGTTTTACATACCTTTCATCTTAATCCTTACGGCCATCATGAAAGGTACGTGTTATTTTTCCCCAGGAGGAAAAGGGCTTGGTGTTAACTAGCACATTTCCTGAGGTTGCATGACTGATAAGTGCTGGAGCTGAAGTGCAGTCTCAGGTCTGATTTCAAAATTCGTGATCTTCAGTAAGCTTCAATTATGGCTCCACTCAGGGCAAAATGTAGAAAGGGACCCACAGCACGGATGTGAAAGAGCTTTCCCAAAACGGTAATATCCAACTGAGAGTGACTATGTTGGTTCCTGGTACTCCAAGGCCACAGCTAACTGACCTATTTGGATAATGTAATTGTATTCCCCCAAAAGGTAAATATAACTTTTTAAAAAAATGTGGTCTTTTCTTGATATGTCAAAATTCAGTGAAAAAAAATAAAATGGTGTTCAACTGCCTGACAACTTTTAAATAGATGTTTTTCATTCATTTACATAGTATAGATTCAATATAGAAAATTAAGAAAAGTTTTGAGTTTTTAAAAAAATAGGTAATATTAATTTACATAGTCTAAAACTCAAGTTACAGAAAGTATATACAGTGAAAATAACTCATTCTACCCACTCTTCAACACCCCTCAGCCCCACTCACCACTATCTCCCTCCCTAGGTAAAACCACTGAGATTCTAAAGCAAGCTTTTAAAAAGAAAATCACCGTTACCAGTTAAAGCAACTAGCGAGGGATTCTTGATTTGCCCTTTCCTAGGTCTCATATACATATTAATAGCATGAGATAAGGTAGAACGCAACAAAATGTGAACCAGTGATCTGTCAGACCATAGGAGTAATTTCCACCCATCCAAACAAGGCTGGCCATCAGGAAGGTCACTGGGACCAGGCAGAAAGACGGGAACTAGGTAGGGATTATCTCAGAGTTAGAAGATAGGTGTTCCCACCCCCCCCCCACCCCCCAGGGTATAGCATTACAGTGCTCACCCATACCTGCTGCTTCTCAGCTTCTAAACCCACAGGAAGATTTTACTTCCTTAACCCTTATAATTAGGTGGGGCCATGTGGCTATTTCTGGCCAATGGGCTATGAGGCCAAAGCATTTACTTTCAGAAGAGTCCCCTCAGTATTCTCTTCCCAGCCCAGGGAATAAAGAGGCCATGTGTTCCAGATAGTACAGCTCCAGATGGCAGAGCCTCTGTCAACCTGAGTCCTTGAGTGACTGTGGAGCAAAGCCCCAGATGTGTAGTGTAAGAAATACAAGTTTGTTGTATTAAGCTGCAAGAATTTTGTGATTATTTTTTATGTCCTATCCTGACTAATACAATTCCTTATAATTCTCTGTACCCTTTGAAAATTTTAATAGCTAGCATATAGTACTTTGCCGGGAGCCAGTCCATGCTTGCTGTTTCAAGGGACCTGGCATATATGGCATACTGTTCTTAATATGTTTGCTCACCTTCTTGGCACTATGTGTTTTAACCAAGGTCTCTGAGAAAGGTTGTTTCCCCAGGTAGGGATTTTCCCCTGAAGTTAGGGAGGGAATAAAACCTCTTAACTAAGTGCCAGGAGGGTAATTAATCACTTTAACTATGAACAATCATGCTTAAGCTACATAATCTTTACTCCCTGGAATGGAGATAAGAAACGCCCTAACCTTTGTAATAGAGATTGATAGGATTGAATCAACTGGTATAAATACAGATGTAACAAGACAGCAAGACACAGAACTTGGAAGACAGAACTAAGAAGCAGAACCTCTCTGGAGATCCAGACCAGAACTTGGCTGGAGATCCTGGCTGGAGATCCTGGCTAGGCTGCTGATCAACTGAACACTGTCTCCATGTCCTTCCTTCTTCGCCGACTCCGTCTACGCCTTTGGGGACCCCTGGACCTGCTGGGGTTGGACCCCGGCAGTACTTATCAGAATCTTAAAAAGCTATAGTAGAGCACTGGCTGGTAGCTCAGTTGGTCAGAGCATCATTCCCAAGTTTTGGGTTCGACTGCCAGTCAAGGCACATACAAGAATCAACCAGTTAATGCATACTTAAGTGGAACAACAAATCAATGTTTCCTTCTTAAATCAGTAATAAAAAAAATTGTTCTATTTTTAAAAAGCTATAGTAGAAAAATAAACTTTGAAAAGCAACAATGCAAGTATTAGGAAATTGGTAAAATCAAAATTCAATTTTAATTTCCAGTACATCTTTTGCACTGTTTTGTTCTGATCTGGTTTTGATTAAGTGAACTAAGTTTACACCTTAAGGGAAAGAAGGGTAAATTAAACCCAAAGTAACAGAAGGATATAATATAGAGCAGAAAACAATGAAATTTTTAAAACAACAGAAAAATCAATGAGCTAAAAGCTGGTTCTTTAAAACAAACAATAAAATTGATAAACCTCCAGTTGAACTAAGAAAGAACTTAACTAAAATTAAGAAAGATAGGACCTTACTACAGATCTCATAAACACTATAAAGATAAAGGGACTATAATGAATAACTTTATTCCAATAAATGAGACAACTGTGATGAAACAAATTCTGAAAAGGCACTAAAACTCATTCAAAAAGATCCCCAAAAATCCCTATTAAAGAAGCTGATTTTGAACTTAAACACCTTCCTACAAAGAAAACTCTAGGTCCAGATATCTTCATTGATGAATTCTACCAAACATTTAAGAAAGAACTACCAAACTTAAAGAGAACAAAAGAGGATATAAAGAGACAATCCACACACAAAAAAGGACAAATGGGCTATTATACATATGAAAAAGTCAGCATCACTCATAAAAAATTTTAAAAACCCAGAAATTTAAACTGTACTGTTTGCCTTTCAAGAGACAGGGTGGTGGATGTTGCCACTGCTGACCACCTGCTGGGTGATCAGCCCCAAGGAGAAGGGGAGATTTCATTTAGCATGTTCAGCAGTGTGGTGTCACGGCTCCACTTTGTCTCCAGTCTCAATCAGCTGCATGTCACTCGGGAGTTCAGCAGTGCCCCTGGAGACTGCAGTGGTGATGACTAAAACCTCAAGGAAGGGGTCTTCTTGGGCCCAGACCAGTGTTCTGGGCAGGCACAGTGACTTTACATGAGGCCATGGCACGAGCACAGGCAACAGCTGACACCTTACTGACCAGCAGCATGTCACTGATCTCAGTGAGGGAGGTCCTTCTCGGTGAAGGCAAAGCCCACCTTCCCCCGGGTGTGAGACAACAGTTTCTCCAGAGCTGGGCGGGTTTCCAGATGCCCCTGAATGGCCTTGCTCCATGGTGTTCCTGTCCATCTGGCCCACAGCCTTCCCAGGAGGGCCATGCGGGTCTGCTGCATCCTCTCGGAGCCCACAGTGTCTGCTCCCACAATGAGGCATGTTGGATAATCAACCAGGAGCTGGATGATCCTAAGGAAGTTGTTGGACTTCCAGGTCACCCAGTCTTCCCTGGGCAGCATGGCAGTGCGTCAGGGATTGCCATGCAGGGTTTAAAGACGATGCCACTCTCACGAGGACACCTAGCGAGAGCGACACACTGACACTGTCAAACATTCTAGTCCAGTCGTCTTGTAGACGACGGTCTGGATTTGTCCATGTAATTGTTGCCTCATATTAGATAAGTGTTTTCCGCAAGAATACTATCTAAATCATGCATCCCGTTATGTCAGTTTGTCTCATTACTGGACGCATGAAGTTAGATCACCTAATTAAGGAGTTGTCTGCCATATATCCCTGTATGGTACCTTTTGTAATCAATAAGTAATCTCCAGGATAATACCTTGAGACAGTTAGACTATGCTCTTCCACAGCAAAGTTTCACCTAATAGCTTTGGCATCCATTTATCACCCTTGCCTGAATCAATTATCATCCTGGGAATTACAAAACAGTGATTTGCTAATTCTATGATTCCTTCTGCTTTTACACGCTAGCAATTTTCCCCCTGGAAATATATTATGGATTCATGGGCTTATTTTTAATCATTGCCACCCTTATTCTTTTGAATGCCTATTTCCAAACTCATCCCGTAGAGTTCTTTCAAGCTGGTTCCTGGGTTCTCTTGACATTTCCCAGTCTTTAAACACGTTTGCGGAGCCAACAGGGATCTGATATATCCATCCCGGACTGTTACATGAGAGAAATAAACTTGTACTGGATTTGAACCATTACATTTTTGGTTTGTTTTTACAGCATTTTAGCCCACCATCCTTAATACAAAATACTTCTAATTGTTCTTTTTCAAAGCCCTCCCCTCTTGCTGCACATGTCTGTTTCTATTGTAACATTTTTAGCCACCATGAGCCTTCACTGTGTCTTTTGCCTACTCTCAGTATCATATCAGTATTCTTAATCAGACTTATGGCATGTGGTATTCTGCATATAGAGTATTATAGTTATCGATGGCTCATGATTTACCATGGCCCAGGGGCCTTTCCTGCCAGGAACAGGCACAAAGCCAGTCATCTCCATTTTAAACTTCCTACTTACAAAATTAATTAGCCTTCATTTGACTTTGTCCAATTTGTAAGTACCCAATTTATCCAGGCTATTTTGATTTTTATTCCTAGTATCTCTGGCATACAAACAAACACACACAATACATCACTGGTCATGGCTTAAAATTGATGAAATAGAACTGGGCCCCAGGCTAACCTCTGCAAGGTTAACAGCTGTCCCACACCGACACTCTAAAAATACATATGTATCCTTTACAGTGCCTTTGTGTGACCGTTCTACCATCTAACTATGGTATCATCT